TACATCCTACTATTTGGAATGGGACTGTGTTTGAATATAGGTCCTGCCCTTCAGTGCTAATTTAGTCTTTCCCTCTGGTCTAGAACCCGAAATCCTCTCATCTCTGGGATGGCTGTTTAAATCCTCTCATCTCTGGTCTGGGTCCTACTCAGGAAGCCAACACGAATAAGGTTCAGGACCAAACGGGTCTAACAGATTCGGTTTGGTTTTTGCTTGCTGGTTGTTTTTGTTTGTTTGTTTCCCCACAGGGATTATTTCCCTCTTTCCTTTTGAAACAGCAATCAGCCCGGCCCGGCGGGCTCCGTGGCGGAGCGTTGACGTATGAACCACGAGGTCAGGGCACATGCCTGGGCTGTGGGCTTGATCTCCAGTGGGGGACATGCAGGAGGCAGCCATCCAATGTTTCTCTCTCATCATTCATCTTTCTATTTACTCTCCCTCTCTCTTCTTCTCTGAAATCAATAAAAATGTACTTAAAAATAAAAATAAAAATGTGCCTGTTAAGGAAAAAAAAATCAGAAACTGGCCACACGAGCCTTAAAAAACAAAAAAAAAAATAGCAAATAGGACCTTTTCAAGGTTTTTTTTTTTTTAACTAATTGAACACATTTACTTTTTAGCTTAAGATGTATGAAGACACTTACATACATATATTATGTGGGATATTTTAGGTGGTGTATGATTTTCATAATTGCTCAAAAACTAGAGAAATCTCTTTTAAAAACTAAAATATCTAGTAGCAATATGGCACTAAAATAAAATATTATCAATTAATTTATTACAATAAATATCCATATATTACAATTGCTCTAATCACAGATATTGCTGTCATTTCAATTAACTAGGAAATCTACTTGCGTACTTAGAAAAGATGCAAGCACTCCAACAGGTAAATTGAAAATATTTGTAATAAGAGAAAGAAGGCATGGAGATATTTACTCCAAAAATATATATGTATTTACTCTAAATCCATACTCACCAGTGTGCACGAAGAACGGTCCCACCTCTGGAATTTCTGTCAATATCAGGGTCAATAGGAAACCTCTGTGTTCAACTGGCAGCTCCAACTTCAGTCAGTCTCCCCTGGAGAAGAAGTGAAGTGGCCTCTGCATAAATATAACTTTTATATGATCCCACCCAGGTAAGGCCACACCCACTTGCTGAGATTGGCTTATGTCTTCAAATGGAAGTAACCAGTCTGAACCTGAATAGATTACAGATAGTGGTCGGATGGCTCATTAGGTTTACAACACATAGAAAACAACACTTGGGGGCTTTCATCCTAACAGAATGTAAATGTATTTTGAGGTAAGAGGCATGAAACTTTCAAATATGGTATTATTAACTGTAGTCACCATCTTATAGATGCTGTAGAAAATTATTTTTAACAGTGGTGCCATGCTACCTGTATTTTGTTGGCACTTATCACTATTAATAATCACTGATACACCCACCATCTAAGTTATAAAATTTAGGTCTGATTTTTAGAAATATATGAATTGAAAATAATCTGACCATGCTGGAAAGTTGAAAAGTGAAAATCTAAATGAAACTCACCTTTTAAAATTTATTGAAAAATTAATGATAAATCTATCAAAGCCCACATAACCTAGAAAGAGGTGAAGTACGTGACCTCTTACTCAATGAGTAGGATTGTAAATTAAGGTAAGGGTCATTGACTAGGAATGATCCCAAAATTAAATCTGGGAAAATTATCTCAAACATTTATCAACATGTTTCAAGTCATCTACGTAAGCATATAGAGGAAGGAGTTTCATTTTTCAGCCAAAATCAAGTAATTCTGTGGGCAGGTCGCCCATGGTCACCTTTGGAATCCTGGTCAGGCCACATACCTGAGATGTTGGCTTGTAGGGTATTTGTAGAACGCAGCCCATCCATAATTCTCTCTCTTTATTGATATTTCTATCTTTTTCTCTCTCTTCCTTCCTCTTTCTGAAACCAATAAAAGCTAAATTTATAAAAATAAATAATATATCAATAAATAACTAAACCAGCATAACTAAGTTTTGCTGGGTACCATTAGTAACTTCTTGATTCTCCTTCCCAAAACCCAGGCTTCAATGGTAAGACAAATCCCCTAGAATTTGGAGATTATAGGTCAGTAGAAAAGAAAAATATATGCACAGAGAAATTAAAAAAATCAGAAAATCAAATAAGGAAGAAGAATCTGCTGTGTACACCTGAAGAAGAAAACAAAGGGCAAATGACTCAACCTAAGATTCCTTTCTTATTTTAGATTCTATGTAGCTTAGTTACTGTATTTATTTACTGATTTATTTTTGTAAATACATTTATTTTGTAAATCAATTTTCATATTGATTTCAGAGAGAGGAAGAAAGAGAAATAGAGAGAGATAGGCACATCAATGTGAGAAAGAATCATTGATCAGCTGCTTCTTATAAGCTCTCCACTGGAGGTTGAGCTTGAATGCCAGGCATGTGCCCTGACCTGGAATCAGATCTTGAGCTCCTGTTTCATGGGTTGACGCTCCACCATGAGTCATAGCAGCTGGGCTACTTACTATATTTATTGTTTAGGAAGGAATGAGATGGAAAGGTTATAGAATTTTAAAATTCTGTGTGATATAATCACAAATCCAGGAAACAGTACTGCAAGTGATTGTTGGGACAAGTCCCTGTAAGGGAGCGCACCATGTAACAGCGCTACAGGGAGCAGACTTTCACAGAATTATTTGATTTTTGCTGAAAAATGGAAGTTCTTCATCCATATGCTTCCATAGTTGACATGCAACATGCTGAGAAATGTTTGAGATAAATTTCCCAGAATTAATTTTGGGATAATTTGCTGATCAATGGCCCTATGTGGAGAGATAACGAGAAAAAGAGAGACAGAGAGAGAAACATACACTTGAAAGAAACACATAGATTGGTTGCCTTCTTTACATGCCCAGAACAGGGTGGGGGATCAACATTCAATCAACATGCTTGACCTTTACTGGGAATCAAATCCTGGGCTGATACTCCAACTAGTGCGCTCAAACATCCAGGGCTGTTGTCATATATTAATGTAAGAATATCTTGACCACTACTCTTTATTTTAAAAACCTCACTCAATAGTATCTTTATTTATTCTGGAGAGAAAGAGAGAGAGAGAGAGAGAGAGAGAGAGAGAGAGGACCCGCATCAATTGGTTGCCTCCCACTCATTCTCTGCACTGGGCTTAAAAATAACTCCCCAACAGAGGTCTCTGCCCTTGACTAGGAATGAAAACAATGACCATTGGCTCCTTGAACGAAAGCCCTAACCACTGGTTGATAGGTTGCCTCCCGCATTCACTCTAACCAGGGATAGAACCCGCAACCTGGGTATGTGCCCTGACCAGGAATCAAACTCTTGCCCTGAGACCACAAACAGTACCTCCTTGCTCTAAAATCCCTGCTCTGGTGCTTGGAGCATAGCTCAGTGGTTGAGCCTTAACTTATGAACCAGGAGATAATGGTTCCATTCTGGGTGGAGACACATGCCTGGATTGCAGGCTTGATCCCCAGTGGGAGGCATGCAGGAGGCAGCCAATTAATGATTCTCTCTCATCATTCATGTTTCTATCTCTCTGTCCCCTTCTATGCCTCTCTGAAATAATAGAAAAGAAAAAATAGCTGCTATGTCCTGCCATGGTTGTGGCTGTGGCTGTGGCCTTGACATCACAGATATTATTAACATGTTGTTAAAATTAACAGTCAAATTAACCATCTGGGTGCTCCCTGTACAAGTCCTTAAGTGAAGCTTTCCCTGACACCCACCTCTGTCCAGCCTGCTGCCTGATCCCAAGGCAGCTACTCTGAAAATCACTTTGGTCTCCTTTAACTACTTAGTTTATGACTCACTGTAACAAGATGGAAACCCACATCAATGGGGGAAAATGACAAAGAAAGAATATTTTTAAATGAACAATTCCTATCTGGACTCTGCCAAAACTTGCTACTTAAACCTGGATGCATCCCATCCCCAATACATTTCTCACTAAATAAGCCAGCTGTGGGAATGCAGAGATTTTGTAAGAAATGGGAATTGCGACCTTGACTCTAAACCTTTTGCAACAAATGCATATATATTCTTAAAGTAGATGAGTTAGTAAGTTAGTACAGTTATGATTTTTAAAAATAGTCCTGAACTCCAAAAGCACAATTACTCTCTCCTGGGGGCCATAATTGTTCAAAATAAATCCAAAGGCCATTTTTCCTTCTATTTAATAACCACTTTTTCTAGCAGCAACTTTTCCTCAGTTAAGTAAAAGAATTTTATTTACTAAGGAAATATAAACTAATCCATCTCAGCCAGTGTGGATCAGTGGTTGGGCATCAACCCATGCCCCAAACTCACTGGTTGGATACCTGGGGAGGGCACTTGCCCAGGGTGTGGGCTCCATCTGAATTGGGATATGTGCAGGAGGCAGCCAATAAATGTTTCTCTCTCATCAATGTTTCTCTTTTTGTATCTCTCCCTTCTTCTCTCTGAAATCAATTTAAAAAGACAAAACAAAGCACATGTAACAGCAAAAAAAGAGAGATTAGTTTGAGTTCATCAAAATTAAAAACTTAAAATAGTTCTGGGATATAATTAAAGTTAAATTGCCTGAAATTACATGACATAATGAAAATCAAAGTCAAATACCTTGAGCCAAGTGAGTGACTGGCATTGAGTGTTAGCTGGGCTATTAGAGCCTCAGGACCCAGCACCTGGAGCTATAGATTTGGGAGAAATGCCTGAAACTCAAGCTATTTGGAAAAGGAAGGATGTCAGCAGAAGAGGGATTGTTCTTTATGCAGAAGAAAAGGGGGCGGGAGGGGGATGGAGTTGATTAAATAGTTAAGTAACTTCTCCAGGTTGTGGGAGCTTTCCTGGGTCTGCTTTCCATGTGTGTCACATGGCTACAAAGTCTGTCCTGCTCTAGACACAGAGTCATTGAGTCACATTTTGCTTAGACCTTTGTGTCTCCTGGGCAGAGGAAGAAACTCCTGATTTTCTTCCCTCAGAAAAATGGGATCAGACCTCCCGCAAAACTTCCCTAAAGAGCTCACCTGTGCCATCTGCCTGAATTACTGTATAGACCCAGTCACCATGGGCTGTGGGCACAGCTGCTGTTGTTCCTGTCTCTAGGTATCCTGGGAGAAAGCTCTACTTGCTGTCCTGTGTGCAGGGAAGCATCAGAGCAGAACATCTTCAAAACCAATATTATCCTGAAAAATGTGGTTTCCATTTGCCAGGAAAGCCAGTCTACGGCAATTCCTGAGCCCTGAGGACAATGGGTGTGGGCTGCACGAGGAGACAAAGCAGATCTTCTGTGTAGACAACAGGCGCCTGCTATTTGCACTGCTCTAGCTCTCAGGAGCACACACTGCTCCGTGGGAGAGGCTGTTGAGGAACACAGGTAAGTGGTGCCCTCAGAGCACTTAGAATGCTGGAGGAGAGTACAGCAAAGAGGTGCGGGTTCAATCTCCTCCTTTCTGATGGCATTGATGCCTACTTCAGACTCAATAATGAAGCTGTGAGGAAATGCACGGGTTTTCCTGTCTTCTTGGACATTGCAATTAAATATGGAACTGCCATTGGACCCAGTGATCCTAATTCAAGGAATATATCCCAAGAAACCAGAAACCAGAAGGAATGTATGCACCCCTATGTTCATAGCAGCACAATTTACAATAGCTAAGATCTGGAAACAGCCCAAGTGAATATCAGTAGATAAGTAGAATATCAGTGGATAAAAAAGCGGTGGCACCTTTACAGCATGGAATACTAGGCAGCAGTGAAAAAGGGAGGATCTCTTACCCTTTGAGGCAGCATGGAGGGTAATGGAGAAAACTACACTAAGAAAAATAAGCCATTCAAGAGAGGTAAGTATCACATGATCTCAGGCATATGTGGAATCTAATTTATCAAAATAAAGTGATGAATAGAGTGGATCCAGAGACATAGAAGCATGAAAAAGTGTGTGGAATCTTGGAGGGAAGGCATAGGAAGGTTGTGGTGGGTAATGATGAACCAAAGAACTAGAAGGCATGTATGCACATAACCCATGGACACAGACAACAGGGTGATGAAGGCCTGGGGCAGTGGGCTGGCGCGAGCTGGAGAGGTTCAATGGGGAAAAAAAGGGACATATTTAACACTTTCAATATTACGTTTATAAAAGAAAACCATGGTGGCAGTGACAGGCACACATATCCTGGGCTTGCCTTTCCCCTTTGTGACCTCTCACCAGGGCCCTGCTTGCTGGGAGCAGGGCTTTCCTGAGCTCTCCTGTTTCTGAGGACTGGTTTCCTGATTTGTAACTGGCAGGCTCCATGGAGAGGCCTGGGGAGGAGAGAACCCTCCAGGCACCTGCGGTTTCCTGCTCTTCACCTCAGTCAGGCTCAGCGGCCTCCTGGGCATTTCTCCCACTCCTGCCCTGGTGTCCTGGCAGCTGCAGGTTTTCTGTGCTGTGGGAGCTCAGGGGGCTAACCTGCACTCAGGGCCGTGTGGGGGGATCACAGAGCTCTGCCCAGAGGCCTCTGCAGGCACTGGTGCCTGCCCCTCTCCAGCTCTGAGCTGCGCTTTCCTGTCCACATCGGGCCATCATCACCATCAGCCTCCCCAGGCTTCCTCACCATCTTTACTGGGCCCTTCCTATCAGTGCTTCCCCATTGGCTGAGGTATCTCCAGGCTTGGAACAGAGAAGGAGCCCTGAGCCCCTCTGCAGCCCACACCTCCACTCACTGTGCTCCCTAGTACTTCTGAGCTTTCTGCCCCGACCCCACTCACCTCCAGGGAAGTGTTTGCATCCTACAGTTGCCCTTCTGGCAACAAGGCTGTGCCACCATATCTCCCTTTGCTAGGCCAGTTAGTTAAAGCTCCCTCATCTACGTTCCATTCCCAAGAGTCTCCTACTGATTCTCTAAATCTCCCATCTCCTACCGACTCCTCTCCAATCACCACCCAGCGTGTTTACAGGTTTTCCTCTGCTTTACCTTCATGTGAGTAGGATTTCTGGGAGTCATGTCTAAACAGAAGTCATCTAATAGTAAACATTTAGAGAAATAAACAAACTCATTCTTTAAGTTGACCTGGAAGAAAAGAATATGGAAGATTCATCATGAAAATTTCATAGCGAAAGGCCTGGATCTATTACTGTAGAGCTATAGGACATAAAACACTGTAGAGTTGGGAATAAAAAGATTCTCTCTTGGCCTTTCCCCTTTTTCATTATAATAAGTGCAGTCTCTTGAGGAGCCTCAGGAACCCTTGGCATCTCCAGTCCCTTCTACACCTGGCCCTTTGTAAACTTCTGGAAAACCTCTCACTTTACTCCCTAAAGTCCCTCCTGTTCCCTGGGCCATGGCTGCTCCTGACACTTTCCAGGGCTAGTGGAGCCTAAGGGCTTTCCTCGGCCCCTCTTGGGAGCCAGTCCTTGGGCAATCGGAGCTGTTTCCTCTCACAAGTCCCAGGAACTAGTGTCTGAGGAGTTGCCCCTGCAAGAGCTGGGTTCTCTGTTCCTAGCCCTGCCTACAGGTAACTCCCTGCAGGAGAGCTCAGGGAAATGGGGATTTCTCTGGTTTGGTCCAAGGACACTAGAGGGCCCTGCTCCCCATCTAGGCCTTGAGCTGGATTTCTTGGACCCCACTTGCAGCTAGATGCAGGACCAGTACCTATCTTTTTAAGCTTGGCAGTGACCTACCCTGGACCACAGGTTCACTGCCCCTGAGCTAGATTTCAGAGATGCACGTTCCCTTGGGACGTTCCCTGGCTCCTCTGGGATCCAGGGACTAACTTCACCTTGATATATTCAATATTTACCAGTAGACGGATTTGAACATATAATAAAATATTTTTCAAAAAAAGAAACCAAACACTTTAGTGGCTCAGTGGATAGAGCATTGGATTTTGGACTGAGTTAGTCTGGGATGTGATTCAGGTCAAGGGCACTTACCTGGGATGCTAGCTCCTCCCAGGCCAGGACCCTGGTTGGGGCCCATGCAGGAGGCAACCAATTGATGTGTTCGCTCACATAGATATTTCTCTCCATCTTTTTCTTTCTTTTCCATTCTCTCTAAAAAGCAATGAAAAAATATCCTTGTGACTCTCTAAAAAAAAGCAAAAATATCCTCAGTTGAGGATTAAAAAGAACAAAACAAAAATAGCAACTTGAATTACTATCAGTCTCATTAGATAACAAGAAAAAAAGATAACTGTAGTCCACAGAACTAACTAATAATAGAATGACAGATTAGCC